TCAGCTCTCTGGATGTACCTCATCACATCTACCTGGGTTGCTCTGAAGGATTTCTGATGTCATCTGGATGAAAAATGAGTGTAAATGAAGCATTCAACAGCCACATTAATACTAAGCAAGAGGCTTGGGAAAAAAGAAGGATTCAAAGAGTAGTTTTCAGATTTTTTGTCTTTCAAAGCTCATCAAACTTTCTTTATGACTTTGTGCTTTTGATATTTTTATGGTATTATGATATTTTTAAAAGACCATGTTTTAAAATAAAATTATAATCAAAGAATTTTTAAGAGTATCGAAAGTTTATATTTTACTAAATCTATCAAATTTCATTTTTATACATTGGCCATTTGAAAGATAATGTGGCTAGTGAAATTCAGAGTTGATAAATTATGTAATGAATATTAATTTTGCAGGTATGGAATTAGTCTGTCATACACATCTTTAGATGACTAGGATAGACAATTGTCTTTCATATTAGTGTCTGTGGGCTGCAAATCTCTCAGAGAAGGTGGATGAGTGTAAGGTAGGGAATTCTGAATAAGGAGGGGAAGTTAGAAATAATTCCTCAATTCACCCACAAGCATTTGAAGTCATATTTGAAGATGGTGAAAAAATCCCTTTTATACATATACAGACTATTTTTAGTATGTACGTATACACTCTCTATGCACAAATATGCCCTTAACATAAACAATTAGCTATGTATATGTTGTCTTGACAAAATATCAACACACTAGAAAATGTAACTGAATTAAAAGAGGTTGTCTGCCATCATCTATTTTCACTGTTAGTGGATACAGAACGTGAAATACCAAGGGATGAATATTTTGTTTGTTTAACAAAGTTTTCCCACATTAGAAGATGAGGGAAGCCACGGAATTTGAAAGTAGAGTACATATGACATGTAGTACAGCAATGTTTCCAGAAATATAATTCCTACTTGTCCAATTCAGAAATCTATGATCTGTATCTCTCAATCCCTCCTCTTTCAAAGATTCCCATCAATTATTCTTTCTCTGTTTTGTATCTGGAAGCTTTCTCTGTCTGTGTATCCCTTCACTAACCTATAACATAAAATAATGAATTAGTTCTTTCATCGTAAAAAATATATATATATGGGGGGAGTGTATGTGTACGTATACACACTTGACTCGGAGTTGACTGTCTTATTTTTTTCCAATAGTTCTTAGCAAATTTGCAAAGATTCTAGAAAAAAATAGTTTATATTCATATTTCTACTTCCTCATTCCTTATTTACTTCTCAACCACCTGTTGGCTTTTACTCATACCACTTTATATAAGAGAGCTCATGCCCAAGTTACACACAGGGTCCCTTGTTCCTGAAGATACAATGGACAGAGGGGGTGTCCATCTAAAATAGATATAAATAGGTGTGGATATAACTTTGTATGTAGGTGTATATATATATATATAACTTTGTGTCACAGAACTTTGCAACAGCCACTGAAATTAGAATCACAGAGACAACAAAGTATCTAATTCCAAGAATATCTTAATATTTATGTTAGATAAAAATAACATTTATTTAGGGGGCCGGCCCGGTGGTGCAAGCGGTTAAGTGCGCGCACTCCACTGCGGTTGCCCGGGGTTCACCGGTTCAGATCCCGGGCACGCACCGATGCACCGCTTGGCAAGCCATGCTGTGGCCGCATCCCATATAAAGTGGAGGAAGATGGGCATGGAGGTTAGCCCAGGGCCAGTCTTTCTCAGCAAAAAAAGAGGAGGATTGGCAGATGTTAGCACAGGGTTGATGTCCTCACACACACAAAAAAGAACATTCATCTAAAAATCACAGAACCTAAGCACTAACTACTTAATTTTCAAAGTTGCTTTGGCATTAACAAAGGGTCTGTGCCCTTAAGAAAAGTGAGTGTCCTTAAATCACAGCAGTCAATACATTAATAGACAAACAGCAGGATTGTTACGACTAGATTCATTAGTTTTACAAATGTAAATGTGACACGAATCATTTATTATGTGGTTTAGTATGTCACAAAATGCCTTTGTTTAAAAAGTTGAGTTCTTGTAAAAGGTGAAGGGGATGAGAAGCAGTGTTTCAAGATAATAATATTTATATTGGATATTTTAAGGATGCATACATAGAAAAATGTCTTCAAAATAGTAAATTCTTCCTTTATTCAATCAACTGAACAATTTATGAAAATAGAGGGTAGAATATAATTGCTTTCCTTATGATATAAAAACTCTTGTTTTTTTTTTTTTTAGCAAGGGTTTTGTATCTTTTTTTTTTTGTGAGGAAGATCAGCCCTGAGCTAACATCCATGCTAATCCTCCTCTTTTTGCTGAGGAAGACCGGCTCTGAGCTAACATCTATTGCCAATCCTCCTCCTTTTTTTTTTCTCCCCCAAAGCCCCAGTAGATACTTGTATGTCACAGTTGCACATCCTTCTAGTTGCTGTATGTGGGACGTGGCCTCAGCATGGCTGGAGAAGCGGTGCGTCGGTGCACGCCCGGGATCCGAACCCGGGCTGCCAGTAGCGGAGCGCGCGCACTTAACTGCTAAGCCACGGGGCCAGCCATTTTTTTAAAAAAGGAAACAAAACCCTATGATATGCCTTCCAAGACATATTACTGTGTTAATCCTGGATGCTAACTGAGTTTTGGAAGAGGAAAAAAAAAAATTTAGAAGTTTAGATGAAAATTACTTCTCTTTTTATACATTTATATTCCTTTATTTAAATTTGTTTAAAAATATTTGCATACTCCCTAAAATCAAGTTCTATCCTAGGCAGAAATTCTGATATAGAACATAAAATTCATTGCCATATTTGTTTAAGAAACTCTTTCTTTTTGAAGAAAAATTTCTTCTTCAAAGATATTTTTGAATATCTTTGAGGTGAACTAGATTTCTGGTGGTTGGTTTAGATATCACAATAAAAGATGATTTATCTAAACTTATACCTCTTAAAAAAATGATTCAAGTAGCGGGGTTTGCATTTATGTACTCCTATCATAAAATAATAAAGTATGCTTAAAATTAGGACTAAGTATAAGACGCTAAAAAGTCTCTTCCAAATTATCAGAGTAAGATTAATTAGTAGAATTTTGAGATAAACATTTTATTATATTCATACAGTTGAATTTTGGGTTAAATTTTGTTATATTTCAGTTCTTCAAAATGTGGTAATGTTAAATGATTCAGAATATTTAAATAAGCAGAATATTCCTTGACCCAAGTTATGTTCTATAATTATGAATTTTTCCAATAACAGAAATCATGCTTCCAACTTTTGTTGGTCTCAATTTATTTACTGTTGTATAATGACAATTATCTTTGAAACTGTACTCTCTGCTGGATGCCTAGAGTTCAAAGTTAAACAAGACACAAGCCCAGTCTTGTAGGACCTTGTAATCCGGAGAGGGGACAGTGTGAGGGACATGTAGGACTCCATACACTGGGCTATGGGGTCAGAGCACAAGCATCTGAACAAGCCTGAAGGGGGAAGGGAGTGTCAGAGACATCCTCCTGGTGATGACTGCACTGAATTTTGAACGATGAGTAGAAGTTACTAAATAAAGTAAGTAAAGTACATTATATCTTATGCATCTTCATCTTCTCGTTACTTTTAATTCTGACAATTTCTTTGAAAGAAATATTCATAAAATAAGGTTATCATTTGAAGATATTCACAATCTTTAACAAGTTCAGTCCATTTATCAACTTTTTCAAAAGGAATGGCTCTTCTATACCATTAAAATCACTAGGTGTTGGAAAAAAACTTAACCCTTGTATCAAAATTACATTATATGACATTATGCTTATAGCATATGCAGTATTCAAAGAGTTCAGTATAAAAAAGATTTGTGATTAATCTGAAGTTATATGCATGTATATGTTTTTAATTTTTTGATCATTTTCAAATAGCATACTGGCTAAAAGCACCTAAGCATGTTTTAAAGTGTTTCCAAAATTTTCAGCAATATCGTATCCCATTATTCACAATATTTTGCCTGCCCAAAAAAATATACATATATCTAAATATATTAATTCATATTTTTCTCTCTTGTTAATTCCTCAGATGCATAAAAATAATCCATTAGAGCTAATGATGAGCCATATCTCTCTAAGTGGTGAAAATTCCAATTAAAAGCAAAGCCAAATGGTATTTCACCCTACAGAGTCTTCCTGTGGATAAACGTATAATTTCTCTTGTAATTTCTGAAACACAAGAAATAGCTTATAATTTTTCATTACTTTTTTTTGAATTCTTAGCATTTTAGGAAACCACTTTGAGAGTCTCTCTATAAATTGCTCTCTATAAAATGCAGAGTAAGTCAGAAAATTGAAATAAGCTGACGGTAGGACTGCTAAAAAAAATTGTTAAAGTTGATATTCTCCACACTACCAGTAGGTTCAGCTACATAGGTAAACTTTCAAAATAGTTAGGCTCCTCTACAACATTTTCCTCTGAAGTAAAACCATCATTTTCTAATCTCAAGACACTCATTTTCACATTCTTCATTGCTTATTGAAATGTCATACTTTTAAAATGTTATACTTATAAAAGGATTTGCCTTCAATCTTTTCTTGAAAGGAATCATTTTCAAATGACGATGTAGTTTTGCTGTTGTAAATTGCTTTATTTATAAATCCACAAAATAATGTCGGTGGAGACTTTTTTATGAGAATTTAGGAATTTGAATATTACTATAATCTTTAATAATTAAATGATATAAATTTATCCTAGAACAACTTAAATCGAAGAATAAAAATCAAATAGAATTCTGTAGGCTCAAATTATTTTATTAATAATTTAGTCATATGGTACTTACAAATCTCATAAAAAATACTTAATGATTTTCTAATTCAGCCATGGTTTATGATCCATGAGCTGTATGACTTTATAATCAGCACACTAGTGTTTTTAACCAAGAATTTTCCCTTTTACCGTCCCCCCACTATCTCTTTTAAGACCACCTAAATTAATATTAAAATTAAAATATTATAAAATTGCACTCACTTTTTTGTCTTTGTTGTATTTGGCAAATATCTCCTGGGCTCTCTCTTCTCCTCCGTCCGTGAACAACATGATAATCTTATTGCAGTTGGCTCTGGAAACATTATACTGTAAAAAAAAAAAAAAAAGAAAGAAAGAAAGAAAAGTATATCATTCATAATAAAAGGTAGGGAATATAAAGCAATGTGGAAAGAGCATGGATAAGTTACAAATAATAAGTGAAACACCTGTTCAAAAAGTATATTCTAAACCAGTTCCTGGATCAGGCCAGGCCTACACAGGGCTTCACCTCACCCCTCAGACATCCATAGGCCTCACTTCTTTTAGGTCTTTGATCAAATGTCACCTTGTCAGTGAGGACTTTCCTGACAACTGCATTTTAAATTGCATTCTCCCTCCCATGCTGTATTCTCCTTCACAGCATTTTACACTCTTATATATAGTATATATTTTATTTGTTTGTTTATTGCGGGCTTCCCCCAAGAGAATGGAAGCACCATAAGGGCATGAAATTTGGTCTTTTTGTTCAGTGTTGTTATCTTGCCTAGAAGAGTGCCAAGCATATAGTAACCTCTCAGTGGTTGATTAATAAATGGGTTTTAAATTAATTGTTCTGTCAATTTTACACCCCTATAATGTACAGGAGAAACAAAGAAATAATATTAATAAAACATGTGCACACCTTTTCACATATATTTTCAATCCATTTACAAACATTTTTCCTCTCTTCCTTCCCTCTTGATCCTACTTTATTTACTTTACATTTCTGAAATTGTAAACTCCTCGTTGATCCCTAACACCCAAAGCTCTTTCATATCTCTGTAAATGCCAATCGTCCTAACCTCCCTTGACTTGCCACACATATTCTGATCCTAAAAGACTCAATCTCAATGGTAAATCCTCTCTTAAACTTTAAGGTCCCAAAAGAATCGGACATAGGAGAACAATGGATTAGTACCAAAGGGCCACTAAAATGAACAATTAGTTTAGAAAGGTGGACTTCATGAGGTCTGAAATTATAATCTCAGCTTTCCACTGTTGTGAAATGTGTTTGCAAAAGTGTTGAGATAAAAGATCATGCTAATTAATGAATTAATTAGCTCCACTTCTTTGAAAATGTCAACTCTCTAGCTCAGTGCTGTTCCATGGAGATATGTGAGCCTAATATGTAATTTTAAACTTTCTAATAGCCATAGTAGAGAGTGTAAAAAGAAATAAAATATATTATTAAAATTAATTTTAGATAACTCAGACATCCAAAATATTATCCATTCAACATGCAACCCATATAAAAATTATTGAGATGATATACATTTTTTCTTTCACAGTAACTCTTCAAATTTCGGTGTGTATTTTTTACTTACAACACATTTCAATTTAGACCAGCCACATTTCAAGTGCTCAACAGCCACATATTGGACAGCACAGCCCTGGCCTTTATATGACTAATATTTTTTAAAAAATCATTAGTTCTTCTGTAGTGTTTGAGCTTACTGAAGGACCGTACTCAATCTCATTTTTCAAAGAAAATAAAGCCCATTTCCTGTTTTGAAAGTTAATAAAGACAACGTTTTGCTTTATTGATGAAAAGATCCCGTTACATTATCTTACCCCATTGACTAGGCCATTTGAACACTGGCAGTTAAAGCTTCTAACCAAGCATTGTGAAAACACAAGTATGGACTAATATAATTTGTCACATTCAAGCATGGTTCTTATCTTTGAGGACAACCATCTGAAAATTTGACTATACAAAATATTCCATATGTTATCAGCAAAATACTTTTGTGAAAAGTGTTGAAATCCCTTAACTAAAATCAATTTCTCTGATGATTTGTCTTCATTATCTGCATGTGTACAATAGACAAAATAATATGTACCTAAACGACTATCTCGTAAAAGTGATTAAGTTTTTACAACAGGATTTGGTTTCGTTTTTGGAAGCAGTGGAGGTATTATTATTACTGAATGCGAATGTCAATGTAAGTTGGCACACTGGGTCTTGCTGATCATTTGTATATTTGTGTAAATAAAATAATAATAACCTTTTCCAGGAGACACAGATATTAAGACACACACAAAAGTGGGAATAAAGGAATGTTTTGTTTTCAACATAATTCTTCCTAGAAGTAGCCTTCTCAGGACTTGTGGTGGAGCAAAGTATATTACAGCAACTTTCCAGTGGATTTGCAATTAGCTAAAGAATCACACAGTCACAACAATTACACTTTACTGGCTTTTAACGAATTAAGTACAGAAAAGAACTTGACAATTGCAATAAAATTACAATTCATAGAGTAATTTACTTTAGTAGATTACTTCATAATCCGCTTTGTTGTATCCATGTGAGGACAGTACATAGTGCAGCATCTACGATATATGCACTCAATAAAAATTTTTGGAAAAATGCATCTCAATCTATTTGGTAATATTTTATGAAATGCTATCTGAAGACTTTTTAAGATTTACTGTGGGATAAATGATATGTCTAATTCCATTTGATACTTGCTTCAGTGATCTTAAAGGTAAACCTTGCAAGGACAAAGAAAAACCAGGGAATGGCATTGCTTGATAATAAGAAGACTAGAAGTGTTTGAAAGAGATAACAAAAAATGCTTCGACTTTGAATAAGGCAGGCGGTGACATTTAGGAAAATTATTTTAAAATGAAGAATTGCTATACATAAGGGACATGTGGAAAGCAGAACATTGAAACTTACTCCAGGAATAACTGAGAACATATTAAAAATCATTTACAATGGTGGTAAAGGCAGTATGACAGGCCAATAGGAGTTAAATCATATTTTATCAGCAACTAGTAATGAATCTGGGAGTTAATGTGGCCTCTAATGAGACTACCTCTGAAATAGTACATTACGCTTGAGGTCCCTCATCATTTCACAACTGAAACCTGAATAGGATGGAATGAAGTGAGGCAAATTAACAAAACTAAGAACAATAATTAAAATGCCCAGATCTAGAAAACTCAATTATTGACTCAAGAGAAAAAGAATTGTTATTTTAAAAAATTATGTTCCTTTACTACAGAAAGAATATATCTCAGTCTAATGCTCAATTAGATTTGAATTTCAAAGTTTTGAGTTTGTATTTTTTTATTAATGAACATATGTCATTTAATAAACATATGCATTTTACCCAAGATTTCTTTGCTTTTCTGTCTCCTTACTTGCTTATCTAACAGTATCTAATAAATATCACCATCTCAAACTCAACATAACTGAAACCGAGCTCTTTCTACCCTCACATTCCCTCTATTTAGATTGCTGTGCCACCATCCACCTGTATTTCAGCTCCCCCACTCAGCAATCCCTCCTACCCCATCCAGTCAGTTATTATGTCACTCTCCTTAACATCTCTTCACTTCTATTCCAACACCAGAATTTCTACAAAAGCTTCTTAACTTAGAACATTCTCATACCATAAACTTTTAGTTTGCTCCCAAACCCTTCATTAACTGATACCTCATGGCCTTTCCATTTCTCTCACTGTTCCTATATTGCTATGTCCCAGCCATGCCAAACCACCTGCAGTTCTTCCAATGTGCCATGTTGTCTGGCATACTTCTATGCCTTTGTCCATGCTGTTCTTTTTATCTTAAATAATTTTCCCTCTCTCATCTACCTACCTAGATTCTACTCATTCCCCCAAATCCTGTTTTCAAGAAATTGCCACACTTTCTTGACCTCCTTTGGGTAAGTTGAGTCCTTCCTCTGTGCTGCTCCAGCAAATGCACTCTGAATGCCCTGTAATGGCACTAACACATTGTACTAGGAATGATGATTTAGCGTGTTATGCTGGACCTTCTTGGAAGCAGATAGTCTTGTTTACTTCTGTAATTCCAGCACTAGCACTGTGACAGGAAATTGTGAGGCACTCAATAAATATTGGCTGAATGAACAAATGAATGAGTCAACCAATCAGAAATATCAAAAACTGTTTAGAAGATTCATTTAGGGAACAACAAAGTCAGATTTGCAAAAAAGATCACATGTAAGAGCTTATTTACATTAATTCTATCAAATATGGTAGAATTATGAGGTGACTCTGTACCAGCCATGTGGTAGTCACTAATTATGTTAATAATGACCATGACTCCAACACCAACACAACAACCTACCCTTGCATGCAGTTTACTATGAGCCAGATTCTGTGGACAATCCTGTCCACAACCCTCTGATGTATGGGCTGTGGTGACCCCCGTCGTACAAGTGACTAAACCAAGGTACAGAGAGGTTAGGTCCATCTCTCAACTATTGCAATAATATTGCCTCATGAGAGATACAAAACCGAATGATGGCCCCTGCTTTCAAATAGTTGAAAATGAAATATATGACATGGTCATTTGAAAATACAGTCTACAGTGAGGTATGTGCTATAATGTGGAGCAAGCAGCAGGCATGCTGGTGATTGACAGTCTAACTATAGCTAACGATGTGTGATTCATTCAGAGGAATCTTTACTGAGGCAGGGATTCCTGCTCTGGGACTTATCTTACTTAAAGTCTACCATTTGGACCTATCTGTACATTTAGGAACAACTTAGATGTCTAAAATATTTCCAACAACCATTTGATCATTGAAAGTACAAGTTTCCAGATAAATACTATAGCACTAGAGATAAGAAAAAGGAAATTATATTCTAAATATGCCAACTAAGTTTCAAGTGCTTGTCAAAATCCAATTAAATAATTCCCTTACAAATATGTTTTTCAAACATAGTTTGAAAAAATGATGGGAAAAAAGATCTAGAGGAAAAGAAAATCTACATTTTTGTATACCTTTTGAATATTGGATTAAAATTAAAAATAGTTCAAGATTTCTACTGCCTAGACAAATGTGCTTTCTAAATAAATGAAAAACAGCCCTGTTATCTAATACCTAGATAGCAGTAACTATCAAGATACTGAAAATCAGACACTACAATTCAATAATAAAAGAGAAAAGGGGATAGCATTGATACTTACATTAAGCAGCTGTTCAAAAGCAAAACTAAAGCCCTTCTTATAATCTGTAATTCCTTTTGCTGTGATATTATTCACTGCATCTTTCAGCACTTTCTTATTTCTTACATTTGCCTGCACAAGGTGCTGAAAACAGCTTACATCCTGGGCATTGCTGTTAAACTGCAAAAGATAAAAAAGTAAATACATAAATGAACATTAAAGTCAGCCACATAATTTTTGTTGAATTTGTTTTTTATACTTCTCAATCCCATTGCATTGCTTTCTCTTTCAAAAAGAAAAGTGAGTCAACTGGTAACAAAAGTACGCTAGGATCAAATAGTGACTTTCTTCTAAGCCCCCAACTCATCCTGTAACCCTGGGCCTGTCACTTAACCTTCCTGAAGCTTGGTTTCCCTGATTATAAGTTTGAGATTTGAGTTACGTGAGGTCCCTTCTAGCTTTCAAATTTTATGAGCGTTTAGACAAAAAAACAAAAACAAAAACACCCAACAAACAATGAAATATATTCAGAATCCAGAAATGATATGATGACGCCTGCACAGGACACAGGGAGAAACTGAGCATTTTACTTGCCTCTCATAAGGAAAAGCTAGACGGAAAAACAGTACACTGAATTAAAGGAACAGAGGTTTAGTAATTTTGCAAGTTGATGGTAGAGTCTTTCTATGGGGGTTAAAACACGAAAGCAATCTGAAAAAATCAAGAACAACTGGTGGCCATTTAGAACGCTCGGTCTAGAGGTTACACACAGAATGCAGTGGAATCACGGAGGCAAGGCAAAGGGCAAGCAGACCACTGCAGATGGTCATTGCAGTAAGTGATGAGGCCCTGAACAACAAAGAGCTAGAGGAGGAGAGAACATAAACTCCAACAATACTTGCCCCAAATTGAAAATTTAAGAATGATCACCAAGTAATTTCACCAAGCCTATAAAAAGTATTCACATAGTTCATTGGATAGTTCCAAAAAAGATAAGAACAATAGGAGTACTGCGATAAGACCTAGGATACTAGGATGAGTGCGATCATCCTATCATTTATTAATTCTGCTATTTGTATCAGTCCCTCAGGCTCTTGGGGCCTAGACCGTCACATCTGCAAAATGAGAATAATAATAAAAACATACTTGCCAGAAGGTAGGGGGCTGGCCAGACAAAATGTTGAAGATATTCTCAGATCAAAAATATATAATTAAATGATTTTAATAGGTAGATCACAAGCCAAAATATAAATTTTATAAGTGAACATATATTCCTATAAATATAATGCATCATTCTTTTTTCTCTGAAAACCACTGAAACTTAATTATAAGGTGCACTGCATATTTCATCAATTTGTTAACCAAATGTTTACTAGCAGCCTGTTACATGTCAAGAATTGTGGCAGGTGATAGTTTTGTGCTTTCAGACATAAATTATGCACGTGTGCACACATACATATATAGGTATGTTTGTAAGTACTTATGTGGTGTTTACTATGTGCTGCATTTACTACGTACTCTACAGATATTCATCATTTCCTCTTTGCAAATGCCCTACAAGATAAGTATTATTATTATCCATAAGGAAACTTAAGCATATAGAGGTTAAACAATTGGTCCATAGTCACATAGCAAATAAGCGATGGAGAGTCAGGATTCAGACTAGCACTGTGGCAGAAGAGTCTGGGACTTTAACTATTCCTGCACCACCTCTCAATATATTACAATAAATTATGATTCATTCTGTAAAGCAATTTAATATTTTGCTCTAGAAGACAATATTAGGGGAGTGGGTTCTAATTTGGACTGTGAGCAGTTGGGGGAAAATTCCCCTGAGAAATGGCATTCCCCGTGACTCCAGAGAAATGTTTCATTGAAGACTATGGAGCAAAAACATTCCAGGCAAATAGAACAACACGTAAAAAGGCCCTGATGTGGGGAAAAAAAAAAAGCCTTTTAGAAAACATAAAGGCAAGTTTAGCTTAGTGACATATGAGGACAAATGACACAAAATGACTTCAGAGAGGGAGGTGTGGGGTAGATCATGCAGAGTCTAATGGAAATGCTGCAGAATTGGGATTTTTTTCTCTGGCAAATGGAAAGTCACAGCCAAATGCGAAATAATTTAATCTAGAATTTTAAGGGATCACCCTAGCTGCTGTCTGGGAAATGGATTTAAGTTGAGCAAAACTTAAAGGAGGGAGAATAATTAGAAGGCCATTGCAGTAACCTAGCTGAACGTATCAAGTGGCTTTGTTACTTATGGATATGGTCAGAAAAGAGATTCACAGTCTATTTTGGAGGAATAATCAATAGGACGTCGTGGTGGATTGGGTATGTGGAGGAGTAAGAAAGTGGTATGTTGAATGACTGCCAGGTTTCTGCCATGGGCATCTGGATGGCTGGAGGACTGGAGGAGCGACAGGTTCAGGGATGCTTGAGGAACAGGGAAGAGAAGCACAGAGTTCAAGTGAGGGTGAGTTTGCAATATAAGTGAGATATTCAAATGGAGGTGTCAAGAAATCATAACATTAAAAGCATGAGGCTCAAAAAAAGTCTTGTTAAAGATAAAAAAGAAATAGAAGGCTTCAGCATAGAAATTTGGTTTAAAACCATGCGAATTAAAGTGAAGTAGAAGAGGAGTCCCTGAGAAAACTGAATAGGACTCAATTCCCATGGAGGCAGAACAGACATCAGGAGACTGAACTGTCTTAGATGATGAGAGAAAAAAAATGTCTCAAGAAGAAGACATTACAGTTCAGAGACAGAGAATATGAGGACTTAAACATGCCCACTGGGCTCATGCATGTTATATAGGCAGTGTCTGTGCAGGCAGAGCCCAACGGAAAGCACTGAAGAACAACAGCAAGTGGCAGCGTGTGCAGAGGCACGTCTTCAGAGCACCTTGGCTGGGAAGCTGAGAACAAAATGAGAGTGGTATCTAAGGGTCTGACAGCCCTGGTGGTGTAGTGGTTAAGAGTCAGTGCTCTCACCGCCCATGGCCTGGGTTTGTTTACTCGTCAGGGAACCACACCGCCCATCTGTTGGTTGTCATACTGTGGTGGCTGTGTGTTGCTGTGATGCTGAAAGCTATGCCACCAGTATTTCAAATACCAGCAGGGTCACCCATGGTGGACAGGTTTCAGTGGAGATTCCAGACTAAGACAGACTAGGAAGAAGGACCTGGTCACCCACTTCCGAAAAAAATTTGCCATGAAAACCCTATGAATAGCAGCAGAGCATTGTCTGATCTAGTGCCAGAAGGTGAAAGGATGGTGCAAAAAGATGGAGGGGGTTCCCCTCTGTTGTACACAGGGTCACTAGGAGTTGGAATCGACTCAGTGGCACTAACAGCCAGGGTGGACCTGAGGTCAAGGAAAGGCTTTTTTAAAATGAAGGGTCAGTAAAGCAAGAGAGGATTGATGTTGGAGAGTGGAAGATAACTATACAGCAAATAGAATAGAGGTGAAAAATAAAGTTCTTGTGTAGGTGGGGAATGATGGGATACAGATGGCATGTAGAGGAACAACTCTTTAAGAAAATATGTATTGACTTCATTGTCCTAGGAAGGGAGAGTGGAAGCTGGGTCCGGATGCAGGGAGTACATAGAGTTGGTGTTGAGAAGATGACAGTTACCGTCTCTGGCTTTTGTTCCCTATGAACAATGAGGCAAGGTCACCAGGACAAAATAAGGGTGGGGATGGAAGGTTTGAAGAGAGTGGAGATGAAACAGGAAGTAAAACGTCCCGCACAGATAAATATTTGAGCTTTTTCTCACTTTTACTTTGAACACTACTTTCAGGTACATCATATGTATGAGAACAAAGCTTCAATATAATTGTTTACTGTTCTCTATAAATTCAAATGGTGAAAACATTATCTTCAGATCCAAATCCCACTGCCTCTTTTTTCTCTTCTTTGATAGTGTGACACAATTTCATTCTACATGTTCCATTTTGAAAACAAAAGAATGTGAGAATTTCCAAGTTAGAAAGTTTAAAAAACATAGTTTGCCAATATGTTGATAGTAAAATGTCTGACTTTAGAGAATTATTAGAAATAGTTACAGGAAATGTTATTAGTGATTTAGTTAAATCATGAATCATGATAAAATGACAAGTTATACAGAAAATGAGCACTGAATAATGTATTGCCCTGAGGCTTTGAGTTAGCCTTGACCTGCTTTGAACACAGAAAAGTGAAGTATCTCATTAAGTCACTTGAACACAAACTGATCAAATGTAAATTCAATTCACTAAATACAGATTCAGTGTTGTATAACAGAAATACTACAATTATAATAAACCTCATAAATAATGTAGAGAAAGTAATAACTTACTACAAAGTATAAATCCCTATAGCAAATTTTATTCCAGGAAAGGGATGAAAGATTTTGAAAGTTCTAAATTAAACAAGTGTATATTTCACAGACATCTTAGACTCATCTGCTTTTAAATAAGAAAAAAAGAACAGATTTATTTTCACAAACTGAAATTGCAGTATTTGGTAACACGTGCCCAGTTTTTAATTTATAAACCACATATTTAATATATAAACCACATATATATTAAAAACTTTAGGGCAAAAGTTTAAGAATATAGCATTATAAAGCTTTGAAATAGCATATGTTGAGTGAAAATAGATTTAAGGAGCACTGCTTTTATCTATTAAGAAAATACTTCTTTTAAAAATGTATAGTTATGGGCCGGCTCCGTGGCTTAGCGGTTAAGTGCGCGCGCTCTGATGCTGGCGGCCCGGGTTCGGATCCCAGGCGCGCCCCAAGGCACCACTTCTCCGTCCAGCGCGAGGCCGAGTCCCACGTACAGCAACTAGAAGGATGTGAACCTATGACATACAACTATCTGCTGGGGCTTTGGGGGGAAAAAAATGAATAAATAAAATCTTTAAAAAAAAAAAAAAAAAAAAATGTATAGTTACCCTACAGAGTAAAAAATCCAAACTAACATCATTTTGATTCCTTCCTTGATCCCAAAAGATTCAACCAAGTAGGTCCCATATTAGAAGTGCTGAGAAAAATCTCTGCTAGCATGCTGAAACAGGAAGGTGTGTGGGTGAACATAAGCATCTGGGGTAGAAATCATGACAGACTTTGTATCTCTACTCCAGTATCTGGACATTCTTTCATTTTCCCCTTCCACATATCCTGTCCCTTCTGCCTA